TAAACACACCTACAGCCGTTAAAAGAAAATTAAAAATCTGCTGATTGAGAGGAAAAAAAGGGTAAAAGAAAGAAATATAAGACATATTTTAAGATTTTTAAAGAATGTAGTGTAAATGTGAATAGTCATATTCTTCTGTTCCAAGCTATAATTAGTAGCTCCACATTCCAGAAATATGAACTTAGTAGACTCATAATGTCTATTTACCTATTTTCAAACATTAATTACTTTACATTTACTGTGATGCTTGCATGTTCTTTCACTATTTATGTGCTGAATTTAAATCCTAATTATTTACTACTTCTGTGAACTTACTGTGTTTTTTCCACACAATAAAGGGGAAATAATGACCTAAATTTTGAAGTATGTGTATATAGGACCTAATCAATAGCTCTAGTCAAACACATTCCTCTGGCCTTATAAATGCTATGGATTCAGTTGCTGCCCGTGAAAAAGAGAGTTAAAAATGACCCAGGATTATTTAGATGAGGAGAAAGGCAATTAAATGATAAATTAGTGTTAACAATTTTGCTTATGACATACAAGCTTCATTCCATCTCATCCAGCAAATACAGTAATCCAGACAAATTATTCATTAGGAACTAATTGGTGCCATTGTTGGGAGGCAAGATTTTAATGGCCAGTTGGTTTAAAGAAGGATTATCTGAAAGGAGTTGGTCAACTGCCAGAAGCTGTTTGCAATGACAAATTGCTCACAATGAATTGTTTAGAGAGAAAACACTACTTTTTGTTTATGAAACAAATCTGCATGCCAGTCAGTCGAGCTCAGTATGAAGGATGTTTGGTATAAGGTCATGAATGCAACAATGGTTTGCTTTTCTAGTATGTGCTGTTTATTTCTCTTGAAGCTGTAACTGCTAAATAGCAGCAAAAAGTAGTTAGCAACTCAAGAATTGGGTCTATTATTGTAACAGAGAAAGGCTGCCTAGCAGTCTTTTCATATCCATCTCTTTTTTTCTTTTCATTGCCAATCTTCCTGTATTCAAAGGGTAATCTGAAAATACCTGTGTGCACTGACTTGTAGACATTTTCAGGAATTCTAATGATTGTACTGGATCATTTAAATTCAGTAACCTATCTTCCACTGCTGCAAAGCCTCTCTGAGTGATTCAAGCCATCTAGCTCCCGTGAAGAAGCGATATGATTGCCAGCGCTCCCTCAGAGCTGCTAAGAAATAACCATTAAAATTTGCTTTTAACAGCGTTTCTTGCAGCACAGTAATTTAATGATATGTGTTGTTCACAGATGTTGAAGAGGTAGATGTTGCACAATAGTCAGTACAGTCAGATTAATGGTTTTGCCAGCAAATGTTATCGTAAATGTACTCAGAAGACTGCAATCAATTTTCTGCACAGCACAAAACACAGCCCATGTCCAGTTGCACAACACTGCATGACATTCTCCTCTTGCCTACACAGAAACAATTTCCAAGAGGCTGTGCTGCCTTTCTGGTGCATTTATCTTTGTCCTAGTCTAAACACAATGTAAGCCTCCCTATTCTTTAAAGACAATACTTTCACACATGGAATAGCCTTTGTGCAAGAAAGTTGCTATGGAAATCCATTATAACATTTTTTTTTTCTGGATAAAAAAAATCCTTCCAGATAGCTCTGTATAATGTCAAACCTTGTGTGTCACGCAGTGACTGCTTACAAGTGTATTAATACCTATCTGATGGGCAAGGGATGTTGTGCAGTAAAATCATCTACGCTTCTCAGCAGAGGGGAAAGGTTCTCCCTGTGCTCAGTGAGAGAAACTGTGGAATCCTAAACTGGAGTGCAAGACAGACTGGGGGGATGCAACTCCTCTGGTATTCAAATCCTATGTGCTGTACAGAAAAGGGAAGGACCACCCACTACAGATTTAATGGTTGCAGCATGAAACTGTAAGGGTTCTCTCTGCATCTGACCCTACTGAACATGAAGATAGAGTGCTGTGGCTTTCTAAGTTGCCCCTGTCTCCAACTCTGGACAGTGGTATCAGCCTGTATTTTTCAGGCAGAGGAACTGCCCGAAATCATCTCAAGGAGATGGAAGGAGCAGGCAATAAGTACAATCAATTGAGCATCAAGTCAGGCCAAATCAGTCAGATATTAATTGCTGTTATCAGTAAGATAACTATCGAGGCAACCAATGATCAGGCATTGAGCACCTCTGCAAAGAATATACAGTTGAAAATAGTTCAGTCTGATGTATTTTAGGACTAGAATTATTCCAATTATTTTAGACATTTATACCTCAAATCTTTTCTTGAAATCTTTTTGCTTTTGATATTTGAAGTTATGAATACCAGTCTACAGAAAATAAAGTTAATGTGGGACAGAAATCTATGAAGTTCATAAGCTGAAGTTCACTGCTGCATGCAGTTTCTAAATGCACAGATTTCTATGTTAGTGAAAGCACCAGGACAACGACCAGGTTTATTTTTACATTTTGCAGTGTTTATGCTTCCAAGCCAGTCACATACATCAGTTACCAGTACAGATGTGATTTGATATTTACAAAAAGAGCAAAATAAAAGTGATGTAAATGCAGATCCTATTCAAGAGGGTGTCTTATCTCAGTGTTCACCTCTACTCTGCTCCTTTCTCCTACTCACTACTCAAATGTGTCAGCTCAATTGTTTGCTCAATATGTTTTAAAGTATATCTGTCCAAAATATATATTTATATTTTGGATAAATGTGGTAATTTCATAGAACCAGCACAGGGCACAGCCACCAGATCTGTTCTTCAATATGTTTTGGTGAGCACACAGGAGCAGGTGTGCACTGATCTGGTCTAAAGAAATTCAATATGTTCATCCATGCATTTGCCATGAAACTCTTCACTGATTTGATATGCACTGCCCTACTGCAGTAATGAAGGCCTTAGATGCTTCCCCACCCAGAGGCTGTTTCTGTGTCTCTTGTGTCACAGGAAAACACTCACAATTGAAGATAACCCTCCAAAAATTCAAGACAACTGTTGAGCTTTGACCACAATGATAATCAGTTTTACAGTATTCTGGAAACAGGACAGATCTCAAAGGTGATATCATATAATATAATCTATCACTAGGGAGCATATGCTTTATTTTTTGTCTGTTATCTCATTCCTGATAAAATGTAGCTTTTGTGCTGAGTTTGGAGTGAAATGTACTTATCTGGTAGAGAGTTCTGACTTTTCTGATATTTTCACTTAGTTAGAAAGCTCAGAGATAATTTAAAAATAGTTACAATGTGAACAAAATAAATGCCAATGCTTCTTTAGTTTCTGAACTGATGTATTTCCTGAGAGCATAATTTGTCCCTAGTTATTCTGAACAGTCATTAAATGAATAATAGAGAAGAAAGGTCATGTGCTCATTTACACAAGCAAAATAGCTCTTCTGAAACAGAAAAGTCTTCAGTATCATTGTGTACCTAACATTTTTTGGTGTCAGGACCGTGTTGCGAACACATCTGGCATGGAAAGTCTGAAGCATCATGCAGCTTTCCCGTGGCACATTAACAGTGTTTATGTGTATAAGAGCAAGTTCATGTAGAACCCAACTGTGGTCAAAAATACCGTATTGTGAAAAGTCAGCGTTGATTATAATCATAATCATTACATCTGAAGCAGACTGCAGATAGGAAGGAATGCCTCTCTTTCTATTTTGTTTCTGTTTCCTTTCCAGCTTTCACAGGCTTGTCAGGTTGGGGGAAAAAAACCCCTAAAAATAAAGAAAAAAAAAAGAAAAAGAAAGGAAAAAGGGATTTGTTTGCTAGGCAGAAGAGTCTCTGTGTCCTGTAAGGATGAACTTTGCACACAATTATGGACAGGCTTTTGGAAATGACTGTGAATTTCCTGAAACATAGTGCGTTGCCTTGCTACCTTGAGGTACTGAGCAGCAGAGAATGGCATCCATTCCCATGTCTAGGCATTGCAAAGTGGGCTGCTTTTTTTTCTTTTTCAAGTACCACACTTCTTTCCAACAGTTGAGCAATGGCAGGAATGTAAAGTACAGGTCCGTGATCTATGTAAATGTTAATTTTGTGCCTTTTTTAGTACTGATTTTGACATACTCAGGTAAAAACAATTTTCACAGGCTTTCTAATTTGGTCCATCACAACATCCCAGCAAGTCAAATAGGTCTCTGAGTAGGGTAGATAAGCATAACAGAGAAAGGGTGTCTATCAACAGAGGCAGAAAAAAAACCAAGTTCACATCTGGGTCAATGAACAATCGTTGGTGTTTGGGAAACAATGTCAGCAGACAGCAGCACTTAACATTGTTTTAAAAAATTAAGTGCTTCTGGTCTGACAGAACTGTCCCTGAAATCAAAGGGAATTTTTTCCTGATTATAATGGAAACTGGACAGAAATGTAATACCAACATGATTACATCCCTAATACATTCCACAAATCTAGCTATTTATTAGAAACATGAAATACTACATAAATGATTATCTGGAAAAAACATAATCTGGAATTCAAATTGCCTCGTCATTGGCAGAAGAGCTGAGTGCACTTACTAGTTCTGTTTATGAGCACTTGCCGAAATGTTCTAGGGGTTCATATGTACCTACTTTGCATTTAAAAAAATGGTATGCAAATTCAAAATAAATACTTGAATATACACCAGCATTTTTGAGTTCTGCATAAAAGGTGGCTTTGCACTGGCATATTTGCACTGAACTGGCAAATAATAGGAAACATTTGAAACCTTCTCACAAGTCCACGTTTGCACCTGGCAGGCACATATAAGTGCAGGGCATTGCAGATGCACTGCATCTCCTGTTACAGCAAACATTGAATATAAGCCCTTGTTTCCAAATTCCGCCCCACCTTTTCAGATAAAAGCACATGAAACGCTAATTCCATAGGACAAGGCACGTAGTAGTTTGACACTGCTTTTGGCTCCCAGGAGCTTTTCAATTTTTTTTTTCCCTAAAAGCTCCAACTACATTTAATATTGAAGAAATGTCCTATGAGTGCCTGGAAATAACAGCTGAACCTACCTGCAAGTCCAGTGACTACATGGAGCAATGAGGCATGCTGGTGACAAGGGCAGAGGAGCTGGAATTCCCACAAACGGGCTGTTGATGTCTTTCTGTACTCACTCTGAGAACTCCAGAGTGACACTGGTTCATCTGTACTGAGGGGAATTTTTAGATCTGTAATGCAGCAAGGTGTATCAGCCTCCACACAAAAGCATCTTACTTGTTCCCTGTGTTGTAGTGCGTTCATTAAGTTCTTTTAGTTCCTCCCCCATTTTATGTATCTGCTCCCCCCCCCCATTTTGTGTAAAATGGTTCTGCCCTCCTCAGTTTTCCCGCCACAGCCCTGCCAGTTCTATTGTCAATCTGTTAGGGTATATAATTCCTCCTCCCCTTTTTCCCTTATATGTATGCTTTTCCTCCTCCCTGGGCCAGTCAATCACCACCCCCACTCCACCTAGTATTCCAGAAGCTTCTCCTCTTTGGGGGTTGTGGTTGGCTGTGGTCCCGGGACCCCTCCCATACCTGGTACCTATTGGGCTCTCCACCATGTCATTTGTGTTAAGTTCATCCCCTCTTCTCCCCACATTGGTCTTCTGTAAACCCCTCCCGGGTCCACCCCTTCCCTTTATAAACCCTAAGCACCCTTTGTTCTTTGTCATTCGCTGGGATGTCATAGGCTTCTCAGTAACCTAAGTTTAGCCTCCCCCCCGGGCAAGTGTCCGGCTCCTTCCTTCTCGTCGTTTAGCAGCGATCCAGTCCGCAGCCAGTACAGCCCGAGGCCTTACGACGCTGAGGGGTGCTGGCAGGATATGCAGCGAGGTGTCGGCCTTAACCTCAGCTAGCCGGACTCTGACCTTCTCTGCCTTTGAAGGCCAAATACACGTTGCTGCACCCTGTACACATTCTTTCCTTTTGGCATTTAAATCACCAGGCAGAGGCCAGGCCTTCTCCTGGAGGCCGAACCCATGGCATGAAGTGTCCTGTTGAGCTCTTTGGAGACCCGGCCAGTCCATGTGCTCCCAGATTGATTAAAGCCACCTCCTCCAGTTGTCTGAACTGTCCTGATCCTGCTACCTTTGATTTTGTGTACTTGATGGATCCCAAAATCACACCATCAATGAACGAACCGCATATACCATAGTGATGAGCCATGCATCTCTGGCAGATAAACTTTTAAACACTTACCTCATTGAACTATTTTATGTTTTTCCTATATTAGTCTAATTTTTTTTCTGTCACTTTACTGGTTCATTAAGTAAAAAAAAAACAACAAAAACAAAAAAAAACCCAAACAAAAACTATTGATCTATCTGAATTTTGATTATTTTAGGTAGAAACTAGCTATGCTTACCTCAAAGAAAGTAGCCAGGCACATGCACATTGCAACTGGATAAACTAGGATAGATATTATCAGAATGGAAGGGAACAGGAAACCTTCAGGAAAGTAACAGACAAAAAGCCAGAATAGGTATTGCTTCCTACACAGACAATCAGGTCAAAAAATAAAAATACGTAATAGTTTACTAGGTGTTCAGAGGTTTTACACATTGGATTTTAATTTCTCATATTTATTCTACCACTGTAACATTGTTAAGTGATACTGTGCTCTCAGCTCTGGTGTCCAAGGCTTTTTCTGAAAATTTAAAATATGTGTGCTATAGGGGATCTTGAGGTGAAAATTCCTATGGTTACTTTCTAGAACCTGAAAATAAAATCAGATAATGCTTATATATTTCACATTATGTCAGCCATTTAAGTTACTTACTGCCTAGTAGGTTTTCCTTTTCTCTCTGCATTAGGTAATATTGATAGCATAACTAACATGCTTAAATCTTTTCATTACAGCTTCTTGGTGCATTTAAAATGTAATTAAATCATTGTGAATTTGCAGTCTTCATTAGTTTTTTTTCAAGGAAGTGGAAGAATATTGTCCTATAAACAACATATATACCATGACAGTTAGTTTGTACTGCTGCTTCATGAGAAGAAGATAAAGCCTCATGGAAATGTTTTAATACATCACATTGAAATCTGTTTCAGAAATTTGTCAAAAATAAAAAGATCCATAATTTCATTTCACATTGCTAATTAAATCGCAGCCAAAACCCTCAGAGTACTTATACTAACAATATTTTAAGATAAATTGCAAGGCTGGAAAGGAGTCCCATACTGTCCCCAAAATCAAGTACCACATTAGCAGACTGCTCTGTAGGAACATTTGTTCTTTCAAAAGTCGTTCCCAATGTAGTTATCCTTTAGCTCACTTTATTTTACTATTGATTCCCCCTTTCTGTCAGTTGATTGAGGCTGAATTTAGGCTTGCAGACTGTCCAGGAATCCCTCATTTATTAATGTTGTTAGAAATCATATGAAATCCTGGTTTATTTAACAACAGTGTGACTCTTCTAGTGCATTCAGAGTAAAAGTTTATTACAACTCAGATACTTCTGGTGGATAATGCACCCTGCTCTGTGCTGAGATCAGTCAACTAACTAATCTTGAGAATGATTTACCTGGTGGCAGCTTCATCCTTTCAGGAAAATTTGAAAAAGACAGAAACAGAAAAGGAAGATCTTATAAATGTGAATTTACATCAGGACTAATTTTATTTTTAAAATTAGCTCACAAATTGTTTTCACAAATCAAGAGTAATGAATTTACTCCAACCTTCTTTTAGTTTTTAGAACAAAAACTTCCAAGAGAAGATCTCAATGCATCTGTCCCTAAGAGCTTCCATTTTAATTTACAGAAATTAAGAACGAAAGAGATGGATCAATTCTTTTTCTCTCCAGTAAAAAAATTGTAGCTTCCATTTGCTAATTGAATGTTCCATGTGTCTAGCAGTGGATGCTGAGGTGCACCCGAGCTGTTTTTTGTCTGTATACAAGATTAGGCATTGGTATTTACAGCTAACCCAGTGGCATCACAGTGGGAGAATGAACAGCTTTCCTCAGGTCAAAGCAGGGCCAGGAGCAAATGCCAGATTTCCAAGTCCCATGCATGTGCTGGTTGTAACACTATCACTTTATAATAGACCTAACATTGATTACTTTAGCTCCAGTTTCTAACACAAACAGAGCCATCAGCCCCTGTTCCTATGGCTTTGTTGCAAGTTATTGTAGCTGACTTTTCAAGAATTTATGCTACAATATGAAAATAAAACAAGTGGGCAGAACTATAGTGATCACTGAATGCTCAGTGCAATTTTTTCTTTTTCTATACATTTGGAAGCAACATCCATCTTGCACAGAAAATGACACAGTACTCCTATGATCTCTCATTCTTTCCTTTTCAGATTACTATTCTGAATTTAAAAGCCATTCTTCAACCAGGAAATAATATCAGCAGGCTAAATACTTCACATTGGGGTGCCTGTTCTACTAATTCTGTACTTTGCCAGTAATCGTCTCCTCTGTGGCTGACTGTTATTTTACAGCAATACACAAAAATAAAAAAACCAAACCCAAAACCAAAGCCAAACACTCAAGGAGACATCTCTGTGGTACATGTCCATGTTCAGTTTCTATTATTGCTTATAACATGCAATTCAAGTTCAAGTGCGGTTTTGCAACCAGACGGAAATCTTGGAGCTAGAAATGAACTCTCCATAACCCAGGACCTTTATGTCTCTCATTTTCTCACTCTTTCTTTTTCTCTCCAGCGAGCCCAAAGCCAGATAACACTTTCCTGCTGTGAATTTTTTAAAGTCACCCAACAGCTCTGGCAAATGAGAGCTGTCATAGTTTTTGGATGAAAAAATCATCTGCAGCTCACACAGATCTATGAGCTGATAGGAGTTAATTGACAGCTTGCAGGATTTCGTCTCCAGGCAGAGTTAGAGAGAATGAGAGCCCTGTGGGTTTCATTTGGGCAGAGATAAAGCAGGTTTTTATTCAGTGCTCATGGAGAGAGCATAATTAACCTTTTAGAAGTTTTAAGAATGATCAAATTGTTATTCATTTTTGCAAATGAGAAAAGTGAGCTTCTTTCTCTGCCAGGAAAATACCAGTGCAGATTTCAAGGTCACTTGATGATTTCCTTTGACTGAAAAGATGGAAGTTGGACAAAAAAAAAAGGAAAATGAAAAGACTGAGAAATGCCATTATAAAATCATGCATCATTCAGGATGTGAAATGAACAAATGTCCTTTTCTAACATAATATACTTTAGCTAACATTTACTGCATGTTCATATTAACCTCCTGGATTCTGCATATAATGAAGGTTTCCCTTGTTATTGTAAATAAGAAACTTAGCACTAGCAGCTGTCTTTTATGTTGCCCCTATAATTTTTAAAAAATATTTTCTTACAGGAGAAAATGGGCCATTATACAAGGTCAGTGGCATGGTTTTCAGGATGTGTAACATATTTTCAAGTGCTGTAAACTTCTAGAATGATAATATGAGTAGAGAATAGGATAATTAAAAACCTGCAAATTATAAATGAATACATTATAAATCTCTTTTGACAATAATATGTGTATATACCTAAAGGCAATAGCTGAGAGGTGCCCTAAACATTCTTTGACAGAAAAACAAAACTCTCAGATTTTTGCTTATTGTCAATTTAGTTTCTTTTATAAAACCTAAACTAATATAACCATGCTTTAGATTCTGTCTGAGAGAGTTTCAGTTTTCTAGAGCAGCTGGGCACAAGATACCTTGCAAAATTATAACCTGTTTTCCTTGTATTATTTCTGGCTAATTTTTAGGAGAATAAGAAGAGTAAAAAAATAGATCAAGACTCTTGTGTTCCATGGAAGCAACATGACAGTCTCTAATAAGAAACCATGAAAAAGAATATCAGAAAACCTATTCTTCTAAACTTTAGACCTTATGATGCTATACTAATTCCAGTCTTGCAGAACATCTTTTTTTTTGTCCAATTCTTCGTGGTGACATCATCTATGTGAAGATTGACATGCTCTCTTCTTTTTCTGCCACTCATTCCCAGATTTCTCCCTGCCTCCCGCTCCATTCCCAGAATTTTCAGACCTGAGATCCACAGGGTATGGTAAAAGCCATTAGAACACATCACATACATTTTCTGATCTGGAGGTACTTGAAAACCTTCAGCAACTCAAGTTACACAAGTTTTTCTGCTATGATAAATCTACTAACTACCAATTGTAAGAGTCTGTCCTGATACATGCTCCTGTCCCCTGTACTGTAGCTGTTTGCAGGATGTGCGCTCTTTCCCTTTTATGTTTTGTTCCTGTATGTGAGTGCCAAAATTGTGGAAACTATT